ATATTTGTGATGGTTCTGAGACATATGAAGAATAAGAAAATAAAAGTTGTTTTAATAGGATTAATAATTTGGTTATTACTAACATAATAATAAATAACTTTAATTCTAAATATAAATTAGCAAGTAGTCTAACCTGTAGTCTACAAGATTTGGAATTTTATAACGGCCTCATTTAATTTCTGAATTCTTTTACTAAAATATCATTAAAATCAATATTGGATTATTTTAGATTAAAAGAAAATTAAGTTCCTTAAATGGGGGAAGTATTCCATTTCAAAGTAAAAGTTCCTCCTAAAATCATTCAAATTAATTAAACTAGTTTTACTTGCTGAATGCTAAGAGTTGCCTCTTCTCAATAGTTGTATCGTTGATAACATATTTTATTTGTAAGTTACTCACATCTCATAAATTTGATATTTCATAAAAAATATTCTAAAATTCTAAAATAATTAGAGATATCTGTTGATTGATTGAAATTGAAAAAGGAATATATTTCTTTTGGGATATTAAAAGTTTATTTAGCAATACTTCATTAGTTTGTATTTAGTGCTTTATTATAATTTTCTGATTACAGCTTTAATTCTCCTCTCATGACTCTTAATAGCATAAACGCAATAATTGGGTTAGTAATAATAGTATAAATAAGTTTATAATTACTTTTTATTCATAATGCCCTTTTTACTTTAATGCTAATTTCAAATTTAATCATTGATTTATTGATAAAGCATATTAGAATTATAAAAGAAAGAAGGATTTAAAAAAAATAAAATAAATAGGCATCAGAAACATGGGGTAATTAAAAATATATATATTTCGATATCATTTTTTTATATTGAATATTCATAATATAATATCTCCAAATATTCATTAATTGCAGTTGATATACTCCATCTTTCTCTTTCCGTTCCCAAACCTTCCCTCAATTTTGTTGCTCTTTATAATTTAACTTCTACATTAGATATCTCTATCCAATTATTATTATAGGTTCCTAATAAAACTATTCTAGTGAATTAATTTCTGCATTTAATAATGATAGATCTTATTATAATATATTAATGACTCTCATAATCTTGCTAGTCTAACAATAGTGAGAGTTGCTTTTCATATTTATATAAAGTAAGAGCCCATTCACATAACCCTTTAACAGCAGAACTACACTCCACATAATGAATCTAGTTAAGCTCTATCTACCAAATCCTCCTAATCCAATTAATACAAAGTGACCTTAAGTCATATTTAAGTCTCTCTGAATTCTTAGATGATCAATTACATAATCAAATAATTCAAGGGTTTTTGTATTAGAATGAAGATCTTTAAAATAATATTATAATTTTGAACACACTCAAGTTTATAACATCATTTTTTGTCTATTTCCTAGCTGAAACCTAAAGTTCTTCTAAAAGAATACCTAATCAAAATAACTTTGTTAAATTAAATTCTGTAGTTAAATATAATCATATGGTTTAATATATTTTAAATCGTCTCTTAATTTCATTTTAATGGAATTTACTAACATTAATATTTATGATCTACTTATTCTAATCTATCTAAAATTTTTTGTTTGTTGTTTCATTAAACATTTATACCAAAGCCAAACCTTAAACTTTGACTGGTATCTCCTCAAACCATAATTTTTTTGAAGTTGGCTTTAATCTATGTATATTAATCAATTGTTGTTTCTATTGCACAACCAACACTCTTTCTAATATCATTATCTGTATTTTCAATTTTTTTAAATGTCAAAATATTATAGAAGTTAAGATGAGCACTATATTATTAGTATCAGGAGTGAAAATAGAAACTATTTAAAAGAATCTTAATAATTTAAGAAACAAAACCTCTTTCACCTCCTGACAATCTCATAGATGCAATAATACTACAAAAGAATTAATGTATCAATTTCAAAGGTGCTTGAGTACCAGGTTTATCAAGAGCAGTCATATTCATATCATCCATTTAAACAACTTTCTACCTAGAATCAATTATCATTTATGTTTTATTAGCTTGAGAAATTGACTTACAATTATGAACATATGTTTCTAAATAGCAAGTTTTACCAACGTATTGTGTGATTTAATAAAAAATATATTTTATTTTGTTTTGGACTTTTCTTTCTAAGATCAAGATTAATCGCCTTAGTTGATTATTTTGGGTGATAGGGTAGTATTTTAACGGTTAGATTTGTATGGCATATCAATATATATCTATAGATTATTATTATTGGAATTCAGAAAATAAAATTGATTATGTGACATGTTTAGATGATGATATTATCTAATTACAATGTAAGGATATTAAAATAATTTAAGAGCTTGTGTATAATAACCAGATAAAAATTGTTTAAAAGGAGGATTTTCAGCTTATGGATCAGCAATTGTATGTTTTTAATGTAATGGATTATCAAGAAAATATATTTGATTACTTTTAATTTAAAGTGGAATGAGAATTTATTCCAAACATACATGCCAGAGACCAATTTAAGGGATCTTAATGATCTTTCGCATACTTAAATTATTCCTAAAATTTATATCGTGCTTACCATGCAATCAATACTGTTCAACTGGAGTAGAAATTAAAATTATTAATTTATATCACATTCTGTAGTATAAAAGGTTTTTACATAAATTATAATTAATTTCTTTGTTGTTCAGACTAATTATTAAAATGTGAAGCTTGTTCAAATGCAACAACCTGTTCAAATTCATCTACTTTGACTTACAGATTGCATAAAAGGTTCTTTTTTAACTGCTAACATCTATTCATCTTTTGATGTTACTTATTAAGAATGGCACAGAGTGCACTAAATGTTATAATGGAAAGTACTTGAAGAAAAATAAATCTAAATATTGTGAATATCCATATTTGAAAATTTTAGATCAAGCATCTTGCTAGTCTTGTGTTGATGGTTTTTATTAAAATAACACTGATTTTTTATAATGTTCTTATCAATGTTAAACTTGTGTAAAAGATGCAAGATGTAAGAGGTGTGCCGTTAGCTTTGAATTAAATGGCACCCGATGTTTATAATGTTTGAAAGCATAAACTACTTGCACATTTTGTATTGTATTAAAGGTTATTATTAAAAAAAATACAGTTTAATTTTTTATTTGTACTTTTTATATGTTTTACAATTTAGATAGAATTATAAAGTTTCTTTATTGAATATAATACTTCTACTTACCAAAGTAATAATACTTGTAAGTAGTGCATATTGTATTAATTGCAAAAATTCAGCCATCTTTTCCATTTTTGTGTAAAATGATTCTTTTATGTTGTGATTATGCACATCATGCTAAGTCAATGCTGACACTTGTTATTTATGTTAAAATTTATACAAGTCCATTTTTACTTTGTTTCACATAAACTAATTTTTGTGCTTTATAATAGATGGATATTTTAAATCTGGAACTTGCCTTAAATAAGTAAGGAAAGGGGTTTAATCTGTTTAATCTTGTTATAATTTCCATAATATACATAAATATAGTATATATTATAATTAGCTAAAAGTAGAATTAATAGAAGATAATTATAACTCAATAATGTATATTCATAAGTAATATTTTCAATCAACTTTTCTTATTTTCTTGCAGTTTTTCATAGGTATTCAAATTGTAATTATTTGATGCTATCCAACAAGTTTAATTTCTTTTAGTAAGTCATTTGTTTTGAAAACTTAGATCTTAATTTAACAAAAATGTATTAAAAAATTTATGGACTTAAATGCTATTAAAATCACATAATTATAAGATAATGTTGCAATTAAATAGTAGATTTTATGAATGATTAAATTGTATAGGTAGATAATGATTTGGGGTTCATTTAGAATAACGAGTTAATTTCATAGTATTATTAAATTATTATATATATAGGAGGCAAAAGAAACGGAGACAATAGTATTAAAGTAATAAAAGTAATAAATAATTATTCTATTTTTTATATACAATAGCAAAGAATAAAATTATATTGAAATAGAAATAAGAAGGATAGATTAGTTATATATAAAAAGTATAACATTTATATTTAAAATTTATGCTCAATCGAAATAGGATTAAATATATAAATTATTATATATATTTTAACTATCACCTAAATAAGAAGATAGATTATTAATAAATTTCGTTAACATTTTATAAATTAATTTGATGAAATGTAACCAACTTATTTGATTTACTATGCTTAAAAAGTATAAAAATGAAACAAGTAATTACTGTATAAATTTTTTTGATGATTTTATAATTACTTATAAAAAATATACTTATCAATAAAATATATTAATTCTTAATCAAATAAATTAGCAAGTTTTGAGTATTGTAAATAACTTGAATTTATTAGAAATTAAAAGATTGTATATTATTAGTTTATTTTTGTTGATCAAAGTTACAATTTGTTACTGAATAACTATTTACAAGATAGTCTGAAATAATATAGAATTTAATAAATAAACAGTTTAAGGGTAATAGATGATACTCTAAAATTTGAGGATGGATAGATAAGAGACATTTTAACTAGTGGCAATAATTTAAGTTAAGTATAGAAAAAAAGAAGCGTTTGCTTTAGATAAAATTGTCAATGAATAAAAATAACAATAGTGAATAATGAAGAAATATATTATAATTTTAAGAAAACATTTAATTATATTTACTGTGTAAAACACTTGTTAATACAGGAAAAGGTAAGTAAATTAACAAAATTGGTTCGAGATGTCTAATTTGGTTTTAAATATGTTCTATTATAATTTAATTATATATCCATACCCAGTATTATAACAATTAAAATAATTATTTTTCTACATAATTTCTCTAAATCCTATTCCAACCATAAAATATGATCCACTTATCATTTAAAATACAAACTATATTTTACCAATCTTTGGAATTGCTTATTCACAAAGACAGAAATAATATCCACTAATACTAACTTCCGCTACAACTTTTCCTGCTTCACTTAATGAACAATTACTCTGCTTATAAGTATTTGAAAATGATAATGATTTGTTATATTATTGAATCTAAAAATAATATAATAAATTGATTAAAAATATACTTTTTCTAATTCTAGTTTATTTTAT